CATCTCCGAAGCGGAGGTTGATCCATTTGTCAGGATGACTGCACGTCTCATCTTGGCAGGTACCAGAAACTACCGGGAGATTTAGATACTGGATCATGGGGCACAAGTGAAAGTACTTAAGGAGGAGCTGTTGAAGTCTGTACTGTTGTCCAGTTATGAATATTGATCTTTTGATTTATTAACTTCATGTAGCTGTAGCGTATTTCTCACCTTCCCTTTCTGTTCTGCTGGTATAATCTCTTGCAGCCTTCCTAAGTTTTTGAACGTATTTTAAAATTCCTGTTAGTGGTACTCGTTGATCATTTTCATAAGCTGTGATAAAAACTGAAGGATAAGGCTGAAATTAGGAAAAGAGAGTTAAATATTTGACAGTTTACTTTCACATAAAATGAGTAAACAATTTTTCTCCATATATCTTACTGTACTACTTTTTTTGTTTATCTAAAATGTAACTATTACAAAACTACCTGCTTCAAAAAAAAAAATTCCAAATTTACTTGAAAAAACTTATTTTGGTCTGAAAATGACAGGGGGGAGGGATCATCTACCTGCTACAGATGCACAAAAACATGAATCCTGTCCCCACTCCTACAGGGCTAATGCATGTGTCTCTGCTGTAGCTTACCACAGGAAGGAGCAATAGCCATGGTTCACCTTAAGCAGTCAGGATAGCCTTGCAAACATACATCTTAACTTCTAAAAGCTACTTTAGTAGTATCAAAATAGCTACTTTAATATGTGTAAGATTTGGCTTATTAATGAACCTATGTAACACAGCTAGCACATCAAGTAAAGTAAAAATTTCCTCTGAGATAACAATACGAAAGCCATAGCTCTTTTTTTTTTTTTTTTCCTTACACTGTTTATCTTTTAAGTGTATTTTCTGTGTGGAAAATACCTCCTTCCTCTTGGGAGGAAGTCTGGAAAACCCAGTAGAACAATGGAACCTCCACACAAAGGAAAAGTATTTCACAGGTTGGTATTGGTTGCACAATGATCTATTAAAATCCTTACTTCATGGCTGCCCTATAATAAAAATGGCTTTTGAAGGCAAGTGATCATTTAAGGGAAGGAGTTTAGTTAATTTCAACAATCATCATGACCCCAACTACTTTATTATGGCTGAAATAATTTCTGTTTGTACTAATGATTCAGTTTAGTGTAAGTAAGCAGCTCAGCCTAAGTGTTGAAGTTTAAAGCACCAAAAGGGTAAAATATAATTTTAAGAAATTCCAGTTACCCACTTTCTATTATTTCCCTAGAAATTACTATCCTTTTATTACTGCAGAATTTGACAAAGAAAGGGCAATTTTACCTGTGGCTTAATATTCTGGTAAGGACAATAGTTTTTGATATACTTCATGGTTTTTTCATCTGCTAATGGATTTCCCCATTCTTCCTGTTCTTCAATTGTCAGTGGGAGATGAGTTTTCAACATTGTATTTAGAACATCTAGGAAAGGAGCCTTAAAAGTTATTTAAAAAAAAAAAAGGGAAGAAAAAAGTTGGCAAACATGACAGGATCTCAAACACCAATGTCAAGGTATTTTCAAACAAATGAAAAGTATGAATTCGGACTGCAATGTTTCCAATTCTGAAACAGGTGAAACAAAACAGAAACAGAGTTCAACCTCATTTTGCATAAGGGATCCCCATCACCTCACCTGCAAGACCACGGCTCTGATCAGTTCTGGATCAGTGTTGCACAGAGCTCCTGCAAGAACTGCCCCAGCACTGGCGGCTGCTACTGCTGTAGATTTTGGCTGAGAAAATCCCAATTCATGCAGCAACATGATGCAAGCCTGAAGGTCGTGGAGACCTTTGAGTTTATTGAGCTGACATCCATCTTTGTGCCAGCCAAGGCCTAGCTCTCCTCCACCCCTGAAATCAAAACAGTTCAAGTTGGAGATTCTCTGGAAAACATTAAGCAGCAAAGCTTTAGCTATAATGAAGCCACAGAATTGCAAAACCAGTTTGCTTTCCTAATTAACTCTTCTATTCCTGTCTTTTTGTTGTCCTTAATGGCAAAAATATACAAAATGTAAATTTTAAAAAATCCTTGTGTGATGAGTAGTGAAAACTCAAACAGCATCAGGGCACCTCTGCACCACCCATCCCTATGTGCTTCTACCTGGAAAGAAGCACTTTGGGAAGTGCTGTTTTCCTCTTTCACAGTATCACAGAATGGCTGAGGTAGGAAGGGACCTCTAGAGATCATCTAGTCCCCCCTGCTCCAGCAGGGACACCTAGAGCACGTGGCACAGGGTGGCATCCAGGCAGGTTTGGGAGATCTCCAGAGAAGGAGACTCCACAACCTCTCTGGGCAGCCTGTTCCAGCACTCTGTCACCCCCACAGGAAAGAAGTTCCTCCTCACATGGAGATGGAACTGCCTGTGTTTTAATTAATACCCATTACCCTTTGTTCTATCAATAATGCTCATTTATAATAACTGGGAATAATGTTTCTTCGTTCCTCACTGAAACACTCAGACTTTGCCTGTTGTGCAACTTAAATTACAAAGCTGTCAGTTAATTTCATTTTTTTCTCATTTCTGAATTTTGAATACTGCATGAACTCTAGAGGTTGCAATATTCACAGAGTTTTAAACTGAAATTTATGATCCCTTCTACACAATGGGTTAACTTATTCAAGTTTTAAGTTAATTAACTGCCTCTTTGGGTACTCTTCCTCTTTAGTGCTGCCACTGTAAAATAAAGAGGATCCACTTATGTCAGGAGACAGTTGTGGGAGGAAGAGCTGTATAAGCTTCCCACTGTATTATAAGACTGAATATATTTGTATGCTGAGTTTATTTTGGCAGTGGGTATTTCAAATGGTTGTTCAGTTCCCCCTCTTCCTTCTCACCGAACTGAGTCCTTTGTTATCTTCTTTGTCTACTGCATTATTATCTAAATGAAAACGTGAAGCCTATTGTACGTAGGGGTTTTATAAAACTAGCAGGTTTGTAGCTAAACAGGAGACGTGGGATTTGGCCAATAAGAGAACAAGATGTACAGGTTGAACCCTTAGTTACTGTTGCAGAAAGACAAAAGCTTTTCAGAAAGCAGATCAAATATTAGTTTGATATCACCCCAATACCCCAGGAAAAAGAGGATGGTAGCACAACACTGCAGTTTGAACATGCTCTCAAAACTGCTCCGAGCAAGGACAAGATGAGTAGTTCTGAGGTATCTTAAAGCTGTAAGCTAAATGCAGCTATATTGTTGACTTAATGTGAACCCAGTGTGTTGTCTTCTAAATATATATATGCCTAGGAAAATTTACTTTTTGTTAAAACTGTTTAACAATTCTAGAAACAGAGTTAATAAAGAGAACAGCACAAAGGAGCAGGTACAGCTACATGAAAAAAAAACATTTACCTGCTCAGTTTCATATCAACTGTGTCCCATTAAAAAAAAAACTCTTGATTTCACTTTATATTTGACTTACCTAACATGGCAATATGCTAATATCCAACCCTCTTCAATTAACATCAGCTTCTCTTCTTTAAAGCTCATGTTCAAATCTATGCCATAAGCTCCATATACATGAATGAGAAGTGGTTTCCTGTGCAGTTCTTTAGACTTTATATTATGAAAAACTGTAATTGGCACCAAAGTCTCATCCTGAAAATGAAGGAGTATTTTACAATGAAGGATATTTTAGAAATCTCAATGACACATGGCAATGAAAACTTCAATTATTTATTTTAAAATGTGTTTTTTTGATTACAGTAATTTTTTTCATTTAGATTGTACAGAGTACTCTTGAAAAATAAAGCAAGAGACTGAACCTCTGCTGTGTAGACTTACAGATGCAGAGTATAAAATTCATTTAAGTGCAACACCTGAGGTGTTTTTAAACTATCAAAGTACCCAAGTCTTCCTTCCCTCTTTAGCATTAAGAATATCTATTATTAACAAAATAGTTTACCACTTACTGCAGCACAAACTCTTTATTAACATATCCATTTTTTTTTTATCCTCAGGCTGTTAAAACTTTCCTTTCTTGATTTGTACTGTGTTGACATTTGTGGGGTGTTCTTTTCAAGAACTGGCATTCTTTTTCATCTTATAGAATATGATACCATCCATCAACTATCAAGTTCAAGTTATATTATACAAAGCTTCTTGACTCATCATGTACTGTTATCTCTTCTAGCACACCCTGATTATTAAAAAAAAAATCTCATCACGACTTGTTCTTTTCTATACCACTGAAGAAAACACCCACTGTTTGGTAACTAGAGCACTAACTGCTCTTTATATTTTTTAAAATCTCTATTCCCTGCCAAATGCATTTTCTTTAAAAGGGAGAGGAGGAAGGGAAGAATAAAGGGAACAGGAAAAGGACTACAAAAATCTTACCTTGCTTTTAGCAAGTAAACGTGTAGTGTGACAATTCCTAATAATTGGTACCTCTTGCTCAGCCTGCTCAATGAGATTATTTGCTTTAAATGAATATGCAAAACGCTTCGGGGGGTGTACTGGGGAGCTGAGCTGAAAATAGCAAGTGCTGGTGCTGTGTTCAGGATGAGATTCCAATTCAAAAGCACAGGCCCACGTAGGCAGCTGAGAAAACAGAGCATTTTAAGTGAGATCCTTACACTGCTTTTAAACTTAGGCTAGTGTGTCCTTCAGAGACAAAGATTTTGAGTGCCAAGCTACTTCAGTTTACACCTAGCACAAACTGTCTGTCTTCAAAATTTAGTATTGAAACAACCAGAAAGTGAAAGACTTTATGGAGTGGTCTTAAGGGAAAAGTTCAGCAATGAAATAAACTGGAAAATAAATCTAAATTCAAATCCAGTTTAAATGGGCATTACAACATTTTTAAGAGAACGTTTCAAATAGGTTCTAAAATTCAAAAACAATGCAGAATCTATTTCCCCTCTGATTTCCAATTCTACTTCAACACATTATACAGCCAAGTCCATATCAGTTGTTATGCTTTTGCTGTGAGTTAGCTCAGTAATGCTAAGCCACTCCAAACCCCTGCCTCTTAACTTTGTTCCTAGTGCCAGCCATTGTGAAGAACAAAACCTTTTCCTGGCACATTCACCCTCAGACACTTACTGCTATTATATGTAAGATTTTAAACTCCGCTAAGAATAAAAGAAATCAAGATTCATTCTTTGAGAGCAGCAGGGACTTAGTCAAACCCTCTGCCAGGCCACAGTTTACTTGGGTTAGGTTGCTAGAATCTTCTGAAATGGCAGCAAAAGTCAAAGTTCTACAGCACTGCAGCCCTTTTCTGAATAAATAAACTAAGATCGTTTCTAAAAATCAAAGATTTCAGGGACCATAACAGAACATCATGTTTAAAAACCTTTATCTATAGCAGTTTTATAGAATATACCATTGGTAACCTGTTTCAAAAAACATATAAGCTATGCAGATTGGTTTGGTGCCCTGAAAAAAAAAATTTTGGCTGAATGGTTTCCAGAAATCATGTTTTTCAATTGAGTCACCTTGTCTTTAACTGACAAGAACTTAACAACAACTAGAAAAGGGCAGAAATATATTCAAAGGAGTACCACAATATGAGCGCTGTCATTTATTAGGCCACAGTGTCTGTATTTATGTTCTGAATGTTCTATTCTCTCTCCTTTGGGAGAGACAGGCTTATTTCTTTACTTACACTGAGGCGTATAATGAAAAATAAGCCTAATAAAACTAAGGAAAGTGTTTAGGGAATCAAGTACTATGAAGTAGTACATGAAAAACTGGCCATACAGTAAAAATCTGACAGTAATAAACTGAAAAAAAAAGATCTGACTCACAGTATAGCTGCTTTGAAACTTTTTAAGCGCTACAATAATCTACCACGTGACATCCTGAAGAACACCCTCATGTACTACAATTAGTCATGATGACAAAATCGTCACTGTCATAGTTTCCTTGCCACCTTGACTCTTGGATTTTACCTTTGCTTTCAGTATAGCCTTATACTAAAAAAAAAAAAAGTGCTGGAAAAAATTTATGCTGTTTAATGCAAATCTAGAACATACCTTAATTGACTGAACTGAATGACAAACAAAGGAAATCACATCTAAATAGAGATGCCTGTTGCGCTGCAAGAACATAATGCAGTGATTACTGAACATCTCCAAGTCTATTAGCTTGGTCTTTTCCTCCAGTGCATAAAATAACTGCCAGTTCTCCATGCCACTGGAAGCTACTGGTGCCTTCATCAACTACAAAAGCAAAAAGAACAACCCTGCATTATTAAGAGATGCAGTGAGAGTTGAGTAGTGAGATGTACAGACATACACGTGATCCTGTATAGCATTTTTACAGCGAAAGTAGTCAGCTTTTAAACTCCTTTTACTGATAGCAGGAAAGATCTCTGTGACAGATAGCCATTTTTTTTTCAACTGTATTGCACTCCTTTAAGAAGAGTCGGTTGGCAGAGTGCCCTGGGACAGGGTATCAGGGCAGGGTAGGGGGCCTCTGAAAAGGTCCTTTCTGCTGCTTGCTTCTCTAAGCAGTCACAATCTCAATGTTTGAACTCCAGTCTTTGAGCTCCTCCTACTGCGGTTCTCTCATTCTTCCAGGCAGAAGAAGGAGAGAACCCCCACAGCTTTCCAGCCTCCCCCTTCAAAAAAAGTTTGTTGAAAGGCAGCTTAGGAGGAAGGGCCTGTTCTGCAAAGACCTTTTAAAATAACTAGAAATTAATCTTATTTCTAAAACTTGCCCATTTCAAGTTTAAAACTTGTTTTAACCATATTTAGGAAGGTTTCAGACCAAGTTCCTTTCACAGCAGAAAAGCAATGTACTATGTTGATGGAAGGTGATGTTTTCCTATCTGAAGGTCAGCACTTCCAACCTGTGCTCTGCATACAAGAACCTGCATTGGAGCAGGACAGCATTTCTTCACAGTAAGTCATGGTAAACTCTCTGAGATACTGTTATTTTACTACCATGATGAGGAAAAAGCAGCCAGTGAAAACACTGGAATGTGACTAGAAAAACAGCATGGGCAGAGGAAAACTTACTTATGAAAAATTTGCAAAAGTCAGTTTCATTCTCGTATATTACATGTAATAAGTGCTTTCAGTGTGGCCAGTTGAGGTGCAGGCTGTTTGGCTATATGTACTGAAATCACTAACTTATTTTCATACAAGATAAATGCCAGGTAAAGCAAAATCATTTCCATTTGTTACCAGATGAGTTAGAATCAGATCAGCAGGACATGTGTGAAAGACTCCACATACTACTGTCAATCTTTGGAGAAATGCAATTCTCCACATGTATCATTTTCTTTATTTTAGAGTAAGCGTGGACCACAGAATTAGAAGGCAGCTTCAGCCTACATGATCTGAGTGAATGAACCCACCTGAATGAACAAAACTAATCTTACTAACAGTTTAGATTACCTTATACTCTGCAGGCTCTCCATATGTAGTAAGAATATAGAACTCATCATTTCTGTGCTCCACGTGATAAATGACCCCTTTTGTTCGTGCTTGTACAAGAACAGGCGGCTTAAAAGGATGGCTACAGTCAACCAGCCAAACTTCTGAGGTTGTCTTGCTGTTGCTGTTGATGGTAAGAAAACGTCTGTCCTTTGTGCAATATATGTCTACAAAAAATCTGCAAGCAATAAAAAAAAACAAACAACAACAAAAAACTAAGCTTATAAACTGACTGACATTAAAAAAAAAACATTTTGTGGTTAAAATGCAAAATAAAAAAACCCCACATGATTCTGAAGCAACCAGGTAAGAGATTGCAGGCCTGTAACTAGATTGGAGAAGTTCCAGAATGTGGCTCCCAAATCCGCTTCTGTAGTATTTTTCCTAGGATTCAGGAAACTGATTTTGTGCGTGTAGTCTGAATTCTGCAAGGAGAGCAGTTCAGTTGTTGCCCAACTGAATTAGTGTTTTTGCATTGCTGAGGTGGACTGAAAGGTCACAGTTGCATACAGGCTGTAAAATCCACACAAAACCTAGAAGTCTCTATTGAGCTAGTAAGTCTTTTTCAAAAGAAGTAATAAAGGGCAATTAAAATTAACAAAGGACATCAGATGGGAACAGGAATAATTCTAGAAAGCAGGAGCTACTATAAACTTTTAAAAAGATCATAGAAGCCTATATGAAACAAGATTAACAGTGCTGAAGTGCTAAAGCTGCAAGCAAGGAAAGGAATTAACTGAGGAAACAAAAAGTCATCCATGGAGATGAAGTAACAGCACGCAAAATACTATGAAAAAAATAATATTGCTTAGCTTTGAATATGATTCAGTTCAGTGCTGCTTCTAAGATTTAAGGTTGATTAACAGTGGGCATGAGAGGGTATTATTATTTTCTTGACAGCCTTGATTATATCTGTTTGAGGTTTAATGTATATAAACATGGAGAGAAGGAAAAGGCAAAGTTTCTCTGAAGGTATCTCCCCTCTATTTTTTTTCCTGTTTTATTCTGACTTAACTGTACAAAGATTTGTTGTGTTTAGGAGTAATTTCCTGAATGAGATGGCAAATATCAAGTGTTAGATACCAAAGCAATAGATCCTGTACAAAATTTAATATTAGATAGTTCAAAGAAAAGCGGCTCTGCTCACACAGATATAGTCTACCATTGAGACCACACAGACCTGTAAGGGAAGGGTGATGATACTGTAATGAAAGAGTTACTGTATTTAGGTTTTGTGTCTATATTAAATTTATATTGTAAAGCATGCAGAAAAAGTAACTCAGCCCGGAAAAACAAAGCTTTTTCTTCCGTGATAACAAGACCAATATTGTTCAGTCCAAGGTAAATTAAGTTACATGAATACCCCAAAATATCATAGCCCAAGAAAATACCCCATTTTATTTTTTTCTAAGATCTAGCAACAGAAAACAGAATGATAGGCAGTGGCAGGATGCCAATACTAGTGAAGTTCAGGCTGAAAGTCATATTCTTATTTCTAAATGAATGACTAACAGGATGTCTTATCTGGGACATGGCACTTTGTCATTCTGAATCTCCTAGAGTGAACATCTAACAGCAAAACCAGCTCCAGCACCAAGCACCAGCAGATTTCATGAAGCAAGTTCAGGACCGAGTATCCTAATGTGTGTTACCCAGGGCAGGTTACATGACTGCAGTAGTGATGCATTTAGGCTTCAAAATATTTGCCTGCTGAAAGACATGAAGCTTTAGATAATGTTTTTAATTCATTGCAGAAGGAGGAATTCCAGGAGGAATTTCTTTTTCTGTTATTACAGGTTTTCCTATCTACATCCTCTTGACATCTTTAGGTAGGCAGGCAGGCATAGCTGAGTTTCTGAAGTCTGCAGGGAAGCCTCCTCCTGGCTCTCTTATCAGCAAGAGCTGGATACTGCAGTCAGGACTTGAGCAGTTCAGCTCTACTGACCTCGTTTCTAAAGGAGTTGAGCTGAAACAGGCTACTCCTGAAACCTCCTCCCAAGAAACCAGGCCTTAGTTTTCGTAGTTGTCAATGTGTTGGGTTTTTTTTAAGGGAGTCAAGCAATCTTCAGCTTCTGAAATGTATTTGATTACAAGTAAAAGAGAGAGTAAGACACAGAACTGTTTAATGGCAATACAAAGGAATGTCTCAAAGGAATGTCTTGTCTTCTCCCACTGGCAAGTAAGTTCAGTTACAACCTAAGCTGCACCAGTAGATGAGCCTTTAGAGTAAGTTTCTATTAGATTTGCTATAATGACTATGACCTTCTGAATTATGCCAACAGTTTCCCTGTAGGGAAGTGTCACGTCAGTGTACCTTGCTTTTATAAATGTATGTATTAAATACAGCTAGAAAAAAGGGATCTTATGTACTCCATCTCAGATGGAGATTTTTCTTTTTCTTTTTTTTTTCCCCTCAGATAATTGAAAGAATGGAAATTTCTTTACAGAACCTGTTACTTTGGATAGAGTTTAATCATAAATATTTACAGTATAGCATCTAAATCTGATCTTTTCATGCTACATGGCTGAAAAACTAGTCCTGCACACAGTTTAGCAAGAGCCTTCTTGTATTCTTAAACCATTGCTTAAAGAAAGGTTATTGAGAGGGTATTCAGTCAACAATAGTTCCATCTCTGGGAATGCTATAATGATTTTGCTCATCCATTACCCAGAGCAAGGATTCGCCTGAACTTCTCTGTTTTTTAAAAGATGCATCAGACATCAATAGCAGAGAAAACAAAATGAAATCCACAGTCTGATGAACCCTGCATGAAACCGTCACACTTTCATTAAAGGACACCCTGACCTGAGACTGACCTTGACATTTATAAACTCAGCTAAACTCATGAGGTAACAGAGAAAAGTTAAATCTTCGTTGATCATAAATCAAGAGGAGAACTGAGCACGTTCTCAGACTGCATATGGCAATAATGGCAAAAGAAAACAAATCACTTGAACCCTTTTAAACAGGATATGATTTTTTTTCTTTTTTTTATATAAAATATAAATATACTCTAGGATATATGAACTTAATATATTTTAGATAAGTATTACCTTTCATCTTGTTCTGAGTAAACTAATTTAGTATGCTTTTCATCAGTGAAAGTTGTCATAAACACTTCCTGGCATTTAAGATTCTTCTGACTTGTGTAAAACAGAACATCACTTGTAGCCCATTCTGGAAAAAAAAGGCCAATGCATATCAAATTTTGAACACTATACTGTGTTACTGAAGAAAAGCTAAAAGAAACTACTGCTTTTGCTGTCCAAAGGCAAGTCCAGAAATAATTCAACAGCTATAAGCATCACATCCAGCAAGATTATCTCATTTTGTTAAAAACAAGCACCAGCAATTTTTTGTTGTTGACCAAGAAAAATGTTTTACTGAAAGCTGGTGTGGCCCATAGGATATTTAAAATCAACTTACCAAAACTAAAAGTATTTGGAATGACTTTCTCCAAAACAGGAGAATAATCAAGTTTCATAATAACACAGGTTGCCTCTTCAGAATTTTCACTTTTTAAGCTGATGGCCATATACCTCTGATCTGGTGAAATTCTGATCCGTTGAATACGGGCATCAGAAAAGCCAGTATCTTCTGTACTGAATAAAACATTTGCTTTATCTACTGCATAAAACAATACAGATAACAAAAAATGCTGTAATTAAGGAACTGACAAAATAAACAGACATTGTTAATAATCAGTAACTTGATTTAACAACTCTGCCTGCAGTATACTTTTATTTACTAGCACCAAATATTTGTTTGATACTTGTAAAAACAATTTTTTGAAAATAAACAAAAGCATGAAGGTACTTTGCCTTTTATAAAGTTCTAAGCCAGGACTCTGAGAATAAATGACTTCTCTCTTTTCTCTCCAGAAACTTACCAGCATCCCACAACAGCAATTTATGATGAAAACCTTAATATAGTATTTATTTTACCAAGCAATATAAGATGGGTCTCTCATATCATCCTAGTAAGTATGGAATACTGTCAACAGAGATTAAAGATGATAAATATCTACAGTGATCTACTGTTGTGGACTCAGAACTGTGTATACTATTCCCTAATACTTTTCACCTCAACTTAGATTGAGGATTCTAAAATTATTTACTAATAATTAGTGAATGTTATCAAAATATTTTGTTTGTAGTATGGTTACACTACTTCCAGAAACCAAGCAATTATACTTTAAATTAAGAAAAATACCCGAATTATTTGATACATGCAGAATATTTTTCAGTCATACCAAGTAAGGAAATCTCTTACCATCATCTGCTTTTGAAAGAAATATGCATCCATTTTCTTCAAAGTACACATTTTCTCCAAACCTAATCTGTTAAAATGCAAAACAAAGCAAGTTTCAAGTCTAATGCCTATGTAAAATATATATTAGTCATTTGTTAAAGACTGGACTATTTTTTTTCTTAGGGATTCCCTACATTTAATCAGCGTTCCGTCAAACACAAATATAATGTACACACAAATGAAAGAAAATATACCACATACACCTGGTAGAGAAAAGGGGAAACGAAGGACTTAGGTGCTCCAGAAAGCAAAAAAGCAAATATTCAAAAATCGAAACTACCATCATAAAATAGTGAAACAGGATTTTATGGCAGGAACAGCTACACTGTCTCTTATTTACGTTCTATTGTGGCATATTTTTGTATTATTTGCCACTGCTTACCCTTGGGCTGCTTAAATGAAGTGCATACTTGTCATGCAATTCCTCTAATTTTTGCTTGATTCTTCTTATCATAGATCTGTATCTTGCTGAGTTTTCTTTCCAGTTTTCTTGCTCTGATCTCAAAAGGTCTTGGTACAAAAGCTCCGATGTTATTACAGATGGATATTTTTTTCTTTTGCGAGTAACTTTTATCACTTCCTGCTAAATAAGGAAAAACAACAGTGGCTGTAAGCCAGCAGTGTATTCAAATAAGACTATGTAATAATAATAATCTTTCCTTAGCCAGGTACCCACAAAACAACTTGGTGTTATTCCAAGCATATGAGTCATTTGGAGGGGAAAAAAAAATAGTTTGGATGAAAATTTCAGTTCTTCCTGATCTTTTAGGAGGGAATTTTCAGATGTACTTTTGAAACATTTTTAAGGTCTTTTCTTCAATATTTAGGTTACTATTGATGTATACTCTTAATTGATTATATGTGAATGTGTTTGTTCTTGTCTCGGACCTGGTTTTCCAGTTAATTTTTTTATTGAATTGTATTACTTTTTTCAGAGGTTCTTTCTCATTGTTTTCCTATCTTAGATTAGGATTCCTTATTTCCTTCTCTTGGAAGCAATGCCTCCTCCATCCTAGCTTGTTCTGGTCCTAATTCCACCTTCTCAAAACAGTTGGCTTAAGTGTTCTTAGGGTCAGAAAGTGAGCTGAAGCAGTGAACTGATACAAGTTCTGCAACAATTTTAGTTAAGAATAAGCTCATGGATGTCATTTTCTGGACAGAGCCAGGAGAAAACTACTACCACTACCTGCCTGCCAACAGAGTCATATCTCCTCTTGTTAAAATGTTAGAAATGTGTTAAATTTGCTAACACAAAATTGGTTCTTTCTGCTTGTTGCAAAATAGCTAGCTAAATATCAAATAATGCAGTAGTCAATAGTGCACAGATGACACAAAATAGCTTTCAATATATTATGGAAATGTCTTTGAACTTCAAAACCAGCATACACTTATACACTATCCCCACTCTGCAGCCAATAACTGTTGTTTTGCTCCTGGTTTGTTTTCATAAATGCTTGAGATTTTAAATATTAACATTATGAATATTTCCTCTGGGGGAAAAAAAAAAGTTCCAAAAACCTCCGTTCCAAAGCCTGTGTGATGCAAACTCCCTGTAATTGTTAACTTCTTCAGTCATAAGAACATATATGAACATTCATTAGTGGTTCAGGGCCAATATAAAACTATAGGATCCACACAACTGCTTTCGACAATAGTCAGAAAAATAAATCCAAGTACTTTTCAAAGAACTTTTGGCACATGTGAATGCAACTTTAAGACATCAAATATCTAAGAGGATGCAAATTGTGACTTGCAGGGCAGCATAGATGAAGTCAAATTTGTTGAGCAGTAGAGCCAGCTCACACTGGCTAAATCTGGTATCATCAGTTTGGCCACTTTATACTGTCTATTGTCTCTCCACAGTTTCCCTGCTGACACTTTAACTGAATCTTTTTTTTGGGGGGGGAGGGGAAGGGGTCACTTTTTTTTTTTAATGCTAGACCAGCAAAATCAACAAAAGTGCACTTTGACATCAAAGCAGCATAGAGGTTGAGAAATGTCATGCGTCTTTGATCATAGCTGAAATCCTAGTATTTATCCCCCTGCTTCGTTCAAACCCTTGGGAGGGGCAGAAAAAAAAACACCAACATTTCCTTGACATTTGAAATAACATGGCTGGTTTCCTTAGCAGGTGGGTCAAAACGGCTGTTGACATTAAGCCTTTGCTTAAGCTGCCTACCTTGCAGGAAAAGCATCTCCTCTGCAGAAGCCTTCCAGGTGGCAGGGTGCTGCTGCATGTGTTTCCTGCGCGGTCCAGGATAAGGCACTTTCGGGGGTTTATTTGACTATAAGGATATATTGTTTGAAGATGGCCATGTTTAGGGTAGCATTTGACACTGAAGTTCAGCGCTTGGAAAAATATTTGCAGTCTAATACGCGATGCCCAAGTCTTCATTGCTTAGCAGTCAACCTGAAATTCCTGAAAGTCCCCCAAATTGCTGGTTATTTATGCTGCATATAGGAAATATGCATTAAGAAAAAAAAAAAAAAACCTAAGTAGGATGTTCTAAAACAGCAACAGTGTATCACCTTTCAAAAGAATTTGCTGAGGAAATCAGAAAGGAAATCAACTCGCCCCTTTTCCCCAAAACGCACTACCCGAGAGTCGCAAGTTGAGCTCGAGTGGAACCATGAGTGAGCCGGAAGGAAGATGCAACTGTGCATCTGTTTAAATGCTCATACACGCAAACCAAAGAGGTTACCAGGAGGATTTTTTAAGTATAATTAAACAAACAAAAACTTTATCCGAGGAAAGCAACCAAATAGCAAAGGAACAGAGGCAAGTCGCAGGCGAATCACGACTTTTGCAGAGGCTGAGAAATAAACACGCTGGTGCCTCACAGGCCCGGGACATCCGTCCCCACGGGGCCCTCCCGCGACGGGAGCCG